CCCAACACCCCATGTGGGGCACGGGAGATGTTTTGGGGCAGAGTGAGCACCCCAAGGAGAGCACCCCATGTGGAGTGGGGAGAGGATGGGGTCTTGGCCATTACCCAGTGCCTTGGTCTGGAAGTGCCACCAGGTACTGCAGGTCCCCTCGCTGTCCTCTGTCACCTCCCAAACACCCACCCTGTAGGCTGTGCCGGGCTGGAGGTTCTGGAGGGTGTAGTTTGATGCTGTGGCATCTACTTCGCTGTCTGGGCAAACGATAACGAGCGTACAGCAGTCTGGCAGCTGCCTGTGGGCAGCACCCTCCTCCTGCCCCACAGGGACTGGGGGGTCCTACTCACAGGTCACATTGTCCCCCTTGGCCACGTGGCAGATGAGGTACTTGGCCAGCACTCCAGGACAGGTGGCACGGGGGGATGGTTTCCACTGGAGGGTGGCATTGGCATCTCCAGTGCTGATGTTGATGGGCACGGCCAGTGAGTCTGTGTGTGGTGGTGCAGGGGGTGCAAAAATAATGGGGGAGTGTTGGGGGAGCCTCCTTTCTGGAGTTAAACCAGAAGTGGATGCTCCCACACATACCATTGCTGATGTAGTGGTGCCACACGGCGAAGGTGGACCAGCCCCAGTCTGGGTCCCAGCTGTGCACGGCGAAGCGATGACACTCTTGAGCTTCCAGTGTTCCTGGGGCAGGAACCAGGGATGGCAGCTAGAACCCTGCCAGGCCCTGGCCCCAGGCAGGGGGACAACAGAGGGCTCTGGGTGCTCCCTTGCCTGTCTCCACGTGGATGCTGTTGGCAAGGAAATCCTCCTGGATGCAGACACCCTGTTTTGGAGCTTTGCTCAGTGTCTGCTGCTCGAAGCAGTAGGCAGAGCCAGGGATTGGTGCTTCCCACTGTGCCATCACGGTGCCACCAGCCACACTGATATTCTTGAAGCTGAGATCTGATGTGAAACAGGAGATATGAGGGATAGCTGGAAAAAATAACCCCCTGAGGGCTGCCAGGGGAGCTTGGCCCTTCCGTGGGGCAGGTACCTGCATGATGCTCTGCCGGTATGTGGAGGATCTGTGCCGGCCCCGGCCCAGCAGCATTGACTGCACTCAGCAGGATTTGATATTCGGCCCCAGAGAGGGTGAGATTGTGCTCTGTCACCTCCTGCCCCAGCACCACAGTGTCATTATCATCCTCCAGGGCACACCTGCACCCTGGCATGAGGGTGCGCAGTGTGTAGTTGACATCCCTTTGCTCCTTGTGGGCTGGCTGGGGAGGGAGAGGGGGTAACTCAAGGGATGAAATGATGGGGAACACCCAGGAGAGTCCCTAGGGATGCTGCCTTACTTGCCAGCTCAGCCTCAGCACTCGCTGCCCATCTTTCCCCAAATTTCCCAGTTGGTAGCTCAGCATTGGACTCTCCAGGATTTCTGCAAGAGGAACAAGCCTGACTGAGCTAGCAACATTTTTGGGAGCTGTTGGGATTCCACCAGCCTACTTTCCTCTTCCTCACCCTCAGGAATGGAGATGGATCTGCTCCAGTCACTCCAGTAGCTGCTCCAGTGGGGAGTCTTGTGCCGGAGCTGGACCTTGAAGGTGCCGTTTACCCCCAGGGCACAGGTCACTAGAGAAAGGTGTCAGGGTCAGGTGGGGGTGACCTCCCTTTCCCCCAGATTTTGGCCATCACAGGGTGCTGGAGGAGAGCAGGAGGCAGAGCACCCTGCCAGGACATAGGAGGACCCCCAGGAGATGCTTGTCCCCAACATCCCTGCAGACTCAACCAACCTGAGCCACCTGTAGCTGTCACATTCACCATGGCACACGTCACCTGCAGAGAGAACCAGGGATGGAGACACCCACCCAGTGAAACCAGTATGTTACTGAGCCATGAGAGCAATGCTGCCCCGTGATCCCCAAGCATCCCAGGGGCTGGGAGAGCCAAATGGAGTGCAGGGTGACAGCTGGGGTAGCCTCTCTTCAACCCTGGGACCCTCCTGGCAGCAATTCAGAGGGGTGGGGGTGTCCCTTGCTGCAGGGGCTTTGCTGGGGACAAGTGTCCAGATTTCATCTGTTGTCGTCATTAGTATAATCTGGGGTTTTGCCTGTGTAATCCCTGCGAACCGTGGCCTGATCCTGTTATGGGAAGCAGCAGGATCCCATGGCCGGAGGACAGGGCAGAGCCGATAATGCAATGAAACAGATGGGACACAGCTGGTTTGGGGGGGGACAGTGATGTCACTGAGCCCCCACACTCCCCAGGCTGCCACGATGCTACTGACTATCCCATTAGCCACCAGCAGCTCCAGAAAACTGCATTTTTACCTGTGTCCAGCCGCTGTCACCCTCCCTCTGGAAACGAGCCTCCCACTGGAGTGGCCAGTCCAAGCCATCACACTGTGGCCTTGGCACCCACAGCTTCAGCTGGCCACCAGTTTTGGTAAAGGGAATCCCAGTAGGAGGTGGATCCAGTTTGACTGTAAAGATGAGATGGGTTTGGGTGGTCTTGTGATTATAGGTTCCGGCGCTCGTGCCCAGCCTGATCCCGTGGGCACTTACTAGTGTGAGGTTGGGGGTCCTGTGGACGTGGTGCCCCCAACGTGCCTCCACCCAGGCTGTGGTGTTGCTGTGGATGAACACCTGCTGGTGTGTCAGGTTGTAGCTCGTCATGGTTCCTGCCCTAAACCGGCTGCACTGGCTGCGCTTCTTGTGGCTGGGGAGGGAGCGGCCGCAGGGTTGGATCCGGGTGAGGCAGGATACATCCCATGGGCTCCCCATCCCTGCCACCCAACTCACCAGAGGTTCAGGAGGTAGGAGGTGTTGCCAGCAGGGCCATAGGGTGACCAGGAGCAATGGAAACTAGCCCGGGAGCCACAATTCTTCCAGCAGGACAGATTGGGGGCTGTGATGTTGCCTGTGGGAGAGGGCACTGCCTGGGGGTCTCCTGCACCCCAAATGGAGGACACAGCAACATAGTTGTTGCCTGATCACCACGTTGCTCAACTGGGGGATCAGAGCAGCTTGATGAGCAATTGTCACCCCAAACCCCCCATTTCCCCCTCCCAGGGACGTGGCACTGGCCGGAGCCGCTCACCTCATCTCCCCCCCTCCCCCGGCTAGGAGCCACTATATCTACTCCAT